AATTCTAAGGATCCCCTTGTCTTCTAATCATGTGAGTCCTTCCAGGCTTTGAGGGCCGCCCCCGCGCGCCACCCCCTGCGCGCGCTGCCGACAGGGAGGTGCCTGGGACGCCGTCGGCCCTCCGTGAACAGAAAAGGCCTCGGGAGGGAAACCTGGCCCTGGGGAGAGGGCAGGACTCCCGGAGACCCCGTGTTCAAAAAAGGCGATACATCGGATCGTGGGCACCTCTTCCTCCTCCCCCTCCTCCTCTCCTCCTCCTCCTCCTCCTCCTCCTCCTCTTCCTCCTCCTCCTCCTCCTCCTCACCCATCGGTCGGAAGCAGCAGGCGGAAACATGCAGCGGGAGGGCGCTGGAAACGGATAGGGTCTCCGCCCGCCCCCCGAGGAGGACGGAGAATGTCAGGCCACTCGATCCTTGAAGTGGGGAGGCGCTCAAAGCAGACTGGCATCTGGGAGCCCAAACACAACAACTTTCGACGATCGATGGGCACACCACCACCACCCATCATGCCTGGCCAGGGCCACCCTTTGAGCAGGGACCGACCGTCCCGGCAATCCTATACGCCTACCACGACATGTTCTTAGAACCCAAAAACGGTCTAAAGCAAAAACATCGTTCTTAGCACATAAACCCGATGTGTTAAAACAAGACAGTCCCGGCCAGAAATGTTCTAGGATCATGTCGTGGAAACCACAACCTGTTCTTATAGAGCATTGTGCGGTAGGCCTATAGGAACGCCAGGACGCTTCGCCACTGCTTGAACCCTGGGCCATGGCATGGCGTGCACGCACTCCCGGCTGGGGCCGGGAGGGCCTGTCCACCTTCTGCTGGGGCCCGGCCTGGCCCTGGCCAGGCACGGCCGCGGTGCATCCGGATGCCGCCTGCGGGGAACTGCAGGAGGGCCAGGCGCATGGTTTGGCTGATGCGTGATGGCTGATGGTTTGTCTGGATCCCTGCGTGACTGGTTGATGGAAATCGGCTATCCGTGGATGCGATGACAAGGCTCATCGAGCAGTGGTATTGACGTGCCTTTGCAATCTTGACTTGCGTCACCGAGGACGTGCTCCAGGTGAGTTACCCCAGCTGTTGTTGTTGTTGTTGTAGACACCAGGTGGCGTGAGAAATGAAGCGTCCACCTCGTCCCAGGCCTGGAGCCGCGGAAGCCCGCTTCAGGGCCCCGAAGGCCACCATCGAAATACGGCCCGCGACGGAAAACTAACATATATATTTGTATGTATACATATCTATATGTATACAGATATATACATACATGGACACAAACGTTATATCTACACACATATATACACCAATAGATACATATACATATAGACATGCACATATCATGTTTATAAACATTACAAACATACATACATATACATGTATGTATATCCATCGGAAATAAACATATATATATATATATACCTATATATTTATATACAGATTATTCGCAATAGCGCCCGTGACCGATCGCGTCACGATTCGCGCCGGAAGCCGTCTGGGAACGAGCCAGCCCGATGCATTCCCAAACGGACGGCCCCGGTGCGAGCCACGACGTGACTGGCCCGCTCCACCCCTCCCACCCGGCCCCCCTGGCACGCTGGCTGATCGCCAGGGAGTGAAAACAACGCTCGCAGGACTGGTCTCGCAGATGACGTCGAGAGCCCAGGCGACCCACGTCGCGAACCCACACACACAGAGACACACACACACACTTTTCCTCGTCGGCGGCGAGGCAGAATTGCTGCACCAGCGACAGAGCTAAACGGGGGCACCGAGAAGCGAAATGCCCAGCATGCAGGAAAGGGGACTGAGCTGGACAGGCGGCCGCCGAGGAGGAACACACACACACACGATGTCAGAAGGACTCCTGGAGCAGCAGGATCGGCGGCCTTCTCGGAAGGCGGCTGCGCTTCCGTGAAGCCCGCCGGCCCTCCGGGAGGCCGTAATTCTCTGTCTTCGAGGAAGGCCCGAAGAAGCTCTCGGCAGGCCCCGGACCGCCGGCCCTCTATGAGAAGCCGCCTCTGTCTTCGGGGAAGGCCCGAGGAACTTCTTGGCAGGCCACAGGCCGCCGGCCATCTCTGAGAGGCCGTCTCTGTCTTCGGGGAAGGCCCGAAGAAGGTCTCGGAGGGCCCACAGGCCGCTGGCCATCTGAGAGGCCGTCTCTGACTTTGGGTAAGGCCCGAAGAAGTTCTCGGAAGGTCCCAGGCCTCGCGAGCATGCTGAGAAGGCCCGCCCCCTCTGCAAGCCCCTACCCCGGGCTCGCCGCCGACAGGAGGATCAGGCGAGGGCGAGACACGATCAGAGCGGGCACGAGCAACTCAGGAACCTCTGGAGAGCCAGCGAGCCAATAGGACGCACTGCGTCTGCGGGCGCCGAAGGGCACCGGTGCCGCTGCTCCCCGGACCTCCCCCTGAAAATTGGCAACAAGTTCACGGATGGAGGGCGGATGGTCTTCAAAATGTTGTTCTCGCCTCAGCGCCGCGCACATTCGTCTAAAAATACAACAGCTTCACGGATTGAGGGCGGGTCGGTTTTTCTGAATATTGTTCTCGCCTGAGCGCCGCGCACATTCGTTTCGAACATTTGAAACAGCTTCACGGATTGAAGGCGGGTGGTTTTCAGAATGTGGCTCTCGCTTTAGCGCCGCGCACATTGCTTTCAAACAAGTCCAAGAGTTTCACATATTGAGGGCGGGCCGTTTTCAACATGTGACTCTCGCCTGAGCGCCGTGTACGTTCGTTTAAATATGCAAGAGCTTCACGGATTGAGGTTGGTTCCTTTTCAAAATGTGGCTCTCGCCTTAGCGCCGCGCACATTGAGTTTTAACATTTGCAAGAGTTCTACGGGCTCCCATGATCATCGTACCAGAAATGGTGGTTTGGAAGGGATCAAGGATATAAGGGTGTAACAGTTACGTTGGTTCGCGGTGTTGAGGTCCAAGGGATGGCGTTCTGGCACGATTCAGGATCGTCAAGACGCAACAGTCAGGTTGATCCGTGGCGTTGGAATCCCGAGAACAATGTTTTGGCATGCATCAGGGTCTTCAAGCGGTTGTCTCCAACGAGGCAATTCCATCAATGGAAATGAGCTGCTCCAGGGGCCTATGAAGAGGGAGCTTAGAAGCAGGGTGTGTTCCAACATGGTTGATGTCTCGTGGCTTTACACTGGTCCCCCTCTTCCTCTTCCTCCTCATCCTCCTCACCCCCGTCCTCATCCTTCTCCTCCTCCTCTTCCCCCTCCCTCCCTCCCTCCCTCCCTCCCTCCCGTGCCCGAACAGTAAGTGTACACACCCATGGCGGTAGGGCGACGCAGCACGACAGCAACACCACAACTGCGAGAAGCCCTTGCTTCACACCCTTCCCCCCAGAACCCAAAGTTGAAGTGTACGCATGGTGTCCCTGGCCTTAGACTTCCGCCCAAACCCGTAAATTCGAAATTGGAGGGAGGGAGTATACATGTTGGTCCGACGTGCGTTGACAAATCAAGGTCTCGGCGAGACACGCGTGGACACTTTTAGTCCACCCACCGTACCCCCTACCACTAAACCTGGAGGGGAGGGGTCGCGGGTAGCCAGAGCGTCCAAGATGGCCTCGGCGAGGAACCCAAGATCAATGATCTTCCCAGGGTATTGGCTACAGATTGGCCACCAGGGGGAGAAGCTACTTTAGTACGGCCCCTTCTTTGATCGATCTCCTCCAAGAAGGGCCCAAGATCCAAGATGAACCCCGAAGCTCCGAAGGGTGCCCCGAGACAGACCAAAGAGGTGCCCAGGAGGCCCCAAGAGGGCCCCCCAGGGGCACCCAAGACGCCAAGAGGCCTCGGCGAGACGGTTGAAAGTATTGCTTCTGCTGAGGTTGTGGTCGCGCGTTGGCCTCCTACGGGGGGGAAGCTAATTCAAGAGCCCCCCTCCTTTGATCGATCTCCTCCAAGATGGCCCCGAGATGGCCCCCGAGGCTCCCAAGGGTGCAGAGGCCCCCCACGGGCCCCCAAGAGGCCCCAAGAGGCGTCGGCGAGAAGGCCAGCATCATTGATGTGACTGAGGTCTTGGCCACGTGCCGGCCTCCTGGGGGGGGGTCATTTACTACGGCCCCTCGTTGGATCGATTTCCTCCAAGATGGCTCCAACATGGACCCCGAGGCTCCCAAGAGGCCCTGAGAGGGCTCCAAAAGGCGCCCAGGAGGCCGAAAGAGACCCCCATGATGCCTCCAAAAGTCCTCTAGAGACCCCCAAGAAACCCCCCAAGAGGCCCGAAGAGGCTTCCTCGGGGCACCCAAGACGCTTCAAGAGGCCCCCATGGACCGCCACGAGGATCCCAAGAGGCCCTAAGACGCCTACAAGAAGCTCTGGAGAGACATCCGAAGAAGCTCCGAGGGGCATCCAAGGGGCCTCTGGCCTTACTGCTCGCTATCCTCCTCCTCGCCCTCGCCCTCGCCCTCCTCCTCCTCCTCCTTCCCGAATCCGCCTTATCCTTCTCCCCCATCCCCCCTCCTCCCTCCTCCCTCCTCCCCCCCGTGCTCCCCCTCCTCCTCTGGTTCCTCCTCCATCCTCCCCCTCTTTTGGGGTATGACGGCTTCCCCAGGGCTATCGTTTCTGGATAGGCTGGTGGGGCTACGCGACGCGTCTAGAATCGGACCCCCAACCTAGATCTACGGGACCGGCCCGAAAACCAGAGCCCCTCCCGACCCCGAAGTGGCCCTTTTCCGAATTGTTATGATTGCAATGCTCGTACTACTTCAAGCATGTGAGGAGGAAGAGTTCGGTGGCAACTCATGGGAGCCTCCCATACCACCAAGTCGGCTCCTGCGAATCGACGCTAACCAACGCTAGTAGGCGCGAATCAACGCTAAACCGACGCTAATCGACGCTGACCGACGCTAAATCGGCGCTGTCTCATCGACCCCCAGACGCTCATCGACGCGAATCGACGCTGAAGACGGAATTCAAAGGGTACGCCAGGCTCCCATGATCTCCTACCGAAAGTGGCCCTTGTGTTATCATTGTTCTGACTGCCATGCTCGTACTTCCAGCATGGGAGGAGGAACAAGAAGGGCCGCAACTTCTGACGGCGATGGTGCCGCGCCAACTGGCTGCGCGGTATCTAGAGGCCTCCTAGATGGGGTCCGAGTCGATGGGGTCGGAGGATCGCCCCGCATCGCCGACGCATCGCCGATGCGTCACGATGTGGTTACTGATGTGCTTCAATTCGACGACGCCGATGTATCGCCGACGTCGCCAATGCATCGCCGATGCGGCGCGATCCTCCGACCCCATCCACTCGGACCCCTTCTGGGGGGCCTAGAGCGTGAGGAGGAAGAGGAGGGGCCGCCATTTCTGACGGCGATGGTGCCGAGCGCACCTGCTGCGCGGTATCTGCCTCGAGGAAGCGCAGGAAGAGCATGGAACGCACAAAGACATACTAATACTATGTCCTCCTGGGAGACGCGCGTCCGACCCGAACATGTAGTATACCCGCCTTGTAGTAGATCGTTTCCCGAGCGGTGTGGCCAGAAAGCGCCTGCCACGACGCATATACTATGAGATTTCTCGGTGCGCGCGTCGCCCCTGGGGGGGGGGGGGGGGGGCGACGCACACACAGCATTAGTATGTTGGGGTGGCGCCGAGAGCATGGCGCGGGTCGGGCGAAAGGGGGGGATAGCAAAGGCGGGGGTTGCGAATCAGCTCACGTAGCTGCTTTTCCCGGCGCCTCCCGGCACTGGAGGCGGCTGTGCATGGAGGAATGGGCCCCTCGGTGGGGCCGAAACCAGCTGCGTGCAGCAAATTTTTCGCCCCCCCCCTTTCCCTCGGGGGTCTTCTGACCCAGGTCAATCCAGACCCGGGTCAGCCAGGCCTTGCAGAATCCTGCGAGATCCTGCACCCAAACCCGGTCAGCGCGAGGGATCCTGCAGGATCCTGCAGGATCCTGCACCCACACCCGGGTCCATGCGACCCTGGCCCTGCAGGATCCTGCAAGATCCGGCGCTCTGGCTGACCCCCGCTTGCACTGACCCCCGTCCCCAGACCCCCGACGTCATGAATTTTTCATGACGTCGACCCCCAGCGGTCCGGACCCATTCCCCGGGACCGGTTTTTCGTCCTGAGTCGTTTTTTGACGCTCCCGAGGCCCGGTGAGGGCCCCCGGAGGCCGAAAATTTGGAAAAACATCCCGTCATGATTTTTTCATTACTCGAGGGGGTCTGGGACTGACCCCCGTCTCGAGGCTCCCGATTCCCAATCCCCCCCCCCCGTTCTCCTCCGGGCCGAGCGGCACGGCCCGCGAGGCCCGGCACGCCGCGCCGAGGCCCGCCGGAGAGAAGGCCCTCGAGGAGCGCAGGCAGGCCGCCGCGGGGAGGCGAGCTCAGTGCCGCACGGACGACAGCCGCGTGGGCGCCACGCGGTGCGCCTTGGCCGCCGACTCCGTCGCCGCGGCGTCCTGCCTCGCCTTCGCCATGTACGCCCTCACCTGAACGAAGGATTGCAAAAAAAAGGATTGCAAACAAAAAAACAAAAGGATTGCAAAAAAAAAAAAAAAACTTTGCAACAAAAAACAAAACGCCCTCACCTTGTCGACCTCCTCGTGGTAGGTGTAGCCCGCGTCCCAGTCCCAGCGGGGGTCCCACTGCCCCCCGCCGCCGCCTCCGTACCACTCCCCGTGCCCGTAGGGGGTGCCCGGGAGCCCATACTTGAACGGGATGACCCCGGCCTTTGGGGAGCGGCCAAGAGGGGGGTGTCCAAGGGGGGGGGGGGTGCAAATCATGACCGGCGGCATGTGCGCGTCCCAGCGGGGGGGCCAGGGACGTAATGAAATAAGAAGAGGCGCCATGAAATCTGGGGAACTATCATGGCCCCCGCCATGATATCCCCCCCCCCCTAGTCATCACCCCCCTCTTTGCCGCCCCCGAGCCTTCAGGCTGGTGGCATGTCCATACACGTGCGGCCCAGGGCTAGAGCCAGAGCCCTCCCACTTCTCCAGCTGGTCCAGCCCGGGGACATTCAGGTGGCCCTGGCGGGGGTACTCCAGCTTGGGCGGGGGCGCCGACTTGCACCACGTGGGCACCGGAAGGCCACGCCGCTCGAAGTACGCAGGGTTCACCCACACGTGGTCCATGTAGTGAAAGCGCGGCTCGACGTAGTTGATCCAGTACGCGTCCAGGCCACCGATGTAATTGAAGGACGCGTTGTGCATGATCTCAAAGATGAGCTCTTCGGTGGCGTCTTTGGACCTGTGCTGAGCGAAGAACTGATAGCCACGACCGGTGCGACGGCCATCGAAGCGGACCAAGACGACCCCGAACTCGATATTCTTCCCCGAGTAGAAGAAGGTCTCATTCAGGACCTCTGCTTCATAGTGGCCATTGTGTACGGCCCAGAAGTCGATGGTCTTACGGCCGCCCAGCTCCTCCATGAAGGTAGGAATGTTGTAGGCGTGGATGAAATGACCGCTCTCCATGTCGATTACGCCCTCGGTGTCGAAGCCGATCTTTGTGGCGTTCCCGGTCGGAGACAAACACCCGAGGAATATCCACGCTTTCCGGAGTTTGCCCCACAACGTTGCGAATTCGTAGATTTGGGGCTCGAGTATGAGGCCGCGCCAGCCAGTGAGCTCGAGCAGAAGCGTGTAGCTGTTCGTCTCGCCATCCCCGCCGTGGGTGTCCAGGTAGAAGCCGTTGGTGACGTTCTCGAGCACCTGAGTGATGAGCTTCACGTCCTGCCACGCGCTGCTGAAGGTCTGGATGTTATCCCCAGTCTCCAGGCTGTACTCGACCCAGTGGGGGACGTCGAGCATGTGCATGGCCGAGTACCTGGAGGTCTCTGAGGGCCTCTGGAAGTCCCTGGAGGTGTCCCGGCGTCCGCAGCCGCTTCCTGAGGCCCTCGGAGGCCTCCCGAGGCCGCTAGAGGCCGAAGAAGGGCCAGAAACGCGCACAAACGTGGATCCTCATCGGCAATCCTCGGTCGAGGTACTCGTGGACAGGCCACGAGTCGCCGGTGCGGGGCGTGCCGACACCCCAGGGCAGCTCGGAGACCTCGCCCTGCCCCTCGCCGGCCCTCTGGAACTCCTCGGAGGGCTGGAACTCGCCGCTGCCCGCGAGGTCCTGGCTCGAGTTCACGGACAGGAGGCTGGCGCCACCATTGGTGTGCCTCAACTCCTGCAGTGCCCGACGGAAGTCTCCCGGCGGCATGATCACGGGTCTCCTCGACGACGCATCCTCGAGGTTGCGGAAGAAGTCCAGGGCCTCCGGCGTCAGGGTCGAGCTGCGCCCGTCAGCCTGGGCCGGCGGAAACGAGTCCGAAGGTCCGTGCAGCCCGGAGGCACGCCCTGAGATCCGGGCGTAGCAGTGCTTTCGCACGGGGCTGGTTCGCCCTGCCTGAGGAGGAGAAGGAGGAAGAGGAGGAAGAGGATGAGGAGGAGGAGGAGGAGGAGGAGGAGAAGAAAAAGGAGGCGTGCAAAATCCGCTTGGCATAGGTCCGCGAGCTTCTCCTGGGGTGCCTCCTGGCAGGCTCTTCGAGCCGTGCCCAGCCGTGGCCACGAGAAGGCCCTCCGAGGCCCAAGAAAGGTCAAGAGTTATAGTGTCCCAGCCTGCTTTAGCCTTGACCACCAGAGAAAGTTTCGAGCACCAAAGAAAAAATCACCCCAACTAAAGGGCTTTCACGTGCCGGGCCCCGGGAGGCGCTACCCGGCCGACACCGAAGGGTGCTCGAAACTGCCTCTGGGATGCGGTCCTCAAGTACGATGGGAGCAGCAGAAGTTCGGGTCGGGCGAAAGGGAGGGATAGCAAAAGGGGGGGTTCAGAATCAGCTCACGTAGCTGATTTTCCCGGCGCCTCCCGGCGCCGGGGGCGCCCATGCATCGAGGAATTGGCCCCTCGTCGGGGCCGAAACCGGCTGCACGCAGCAGATTTCGTAACCCCCCCTTTCCCAATCCCCCCTTCGTGCGGCCCGAGAAGTCAAGAGCTCAATTGGGCGCCCGAGTTATCCGGGGTAACTCGGGTCCGGGGTAACTCGGGTTTGGATTCCCGAAAAGGAACCCGAGTTATCCCTGACCCGAGTTACCCCTGATGATTCGGGGCTCTGGACGCCCGAGTTATCCAGGGTAACTCGGGTCCGGGGTAACTCGGGTTTGGATTCCCGAAAAACAAACCCGAGTTATCCCTGACCCGAGTTACCCCTGATGATTCGGGGCTCTGACTCAAGGGGGGCGCTCGATGCCGTCTCTGCCCGAGGCGGCATCGCTTTGCCCCGCCTCTGCAGTGCTGGCCTGGCGGCCGGCGTGCAGGGCGTCCGCGCGGAGGGCGACGCCCCGAGCCGCGGGGGCGCACAGCCCCAGCAGCAGCAGCGCCGCCATGGCGCCGATAATGGGAGTGTGGTGACGGTGGTGCACGGATCGGGTCGGGCGAAAGGGGGGGATAGCAAAGGGGGGGGGGGTGAGAATCAGCTCGCGTAGCTGATTTTCCCGGCGCCTCCCGGCGCCAGGAGGCGCCCATGTATCGAGGAATGGGTCTGGCGGCGGGGCCGAAACCGGCTGCATGTAGCTGGTTTCGTAACCCCCCCTTTCCCAAACCCCCCCTTTCGCCCGGCCCGAACGGATGCCTGGGCCCAGATCGGCTGCGGGGGCCGAGAGCTTGCCGTCGCTCGGGCGCGCCTTCCCCAGTGGCACTCTTGGGCGTCGCGCGTGTAGGCTTCGCAGGGTGGCCTTCAGTCGGGCGTGTCCCCCTACAGGGGGATGTCCAACGAAAAATTAAAGATGCCCCCAGAAAGACTCCAAGATGGTCCAAAAATACGGAAAAAATACTCCCCAGACTATTTTCGGACACTCTTGAAAGAGTCCCCCTGTAGAGGGACAGGCCCGACTTGAGGATGGCCCGAAGAGCCCCTCGATGGCCCTCGCCGAGACAGAGCGCCCACTTCCCAGCGATGCCAGGAGGAGCAGGCGCGGATGCCGCCCCTCTGAGGGGGAATTGGGACACACAAATAAATACACACAAATAAAAAGATGCCCCATGTTTTCTTATATTTTCTGGGTTTCTGTCTTCCCACCCACTTCCCATATTTTCCTATATTTTCTGGGGGATCGAGGATTAATTGTGTCTGTGTGTTTTTTCCCCTCCTGATCCTCGCTCGCGCGGGCCCGGGAGCATCGCCCCGCGGGAGGGCGGCAGCGGGGCCCGCGGCCCCGCCGGGGCAGCCTGGTCTGCGCAGCTGCGCCGTGGATCGTGCGGGGGGGCGGCTCGGCGATGCTCTCGTCGGCGGCGAGCGCGGGGAGGAGGAGGAGGAGGAGGAGGAGGAGGAGGAGGAGGAGGAGGAGGAGGAGGAGAAGGAAGGGGGAAGAGAAGGCCCGCGCAGAAGGCGGCGGGACTCCTCGGAGAAGGCCTCGCGCGCCTCCTGTGAGCAGTCGTCCCGTGCCCTCGGGGGGGGCTCCGAGCACTTTTCGGAAGGCCAGGGGGCTTCCCAGCCTTGAGCAGGCCTTCTCGGAAGGCCCGACCTAAATTAGGTCGGGCCTGTCCCCCTACAGGCGGATTTTGCGCGAAAAGTTAAACATACTCAAAAAATGCCCACAAATACCCCAAAGTAATCAACACATCGTCCCCGGGATATTTGTTTGCTATGTTTGAGCACTCCCCCTGTAGGGGGGACAGGCCCGACCCAAGCTAGGATTCTCGCTTCCCCCCGTCGCTCGCCGCCGATCTTGGGGCGGGGGGGAGCAGGAGCGCGGGGGGCAGGAGGCAGAAGGCAGGGGGCCGATCCTGGGGCGGGGGGAGCAGGACCGCAAGGAGCGGGGGGAGAGGAGGCGATCTGAAGGCAGGGAGCGATCTGGGGGGGCGGGGGGGGGGCAGGAGCGCAGGGAGCCGATCTGGGGGGCGGGGGGGAGCAGGGCGCCGGGAGCAGGAGGCAGAAGGCAGGGAGCCGATCCTGGGGCTGGGGGGCGGGGGAGCAGGACCGCAGGAAGCCGATCTTGGGGGGCGGGGGGGAGCAGGAGCGCCGGGAGCAGGAGGCAGAAGGCAGGGAGCCGATCCTGGGGCGGGGGGGGGGGCAGGAGCGCAGGGGGCGATCTTGGGGGCGGGGGGGGAGCAGGAGCGCAGGGAGGAGGAGGCAGACGGGCGCCTCGGCGGGCCGCCGCGGCGGTGGCGCCGCGGCGGGGCGCGGCCCGAGGAGCTTGCCGGGAGGCGCCCCAGGAAGATGAGGAGGAGGGGGAGGAGGAGGAGGAGGAGGAGGAGGAGGAGGAGGAGGAGGAGGAGGGGAGGAGGGGGAGGAGGGGAAGGAGGAGGAGGAGGGAGGAGGAGGAGGAGGAGGAGGAGGAGGAGGAGGGAGCTTGAAGCAGATTGAGGTCAGCCAGGGAGCCCGCGGGAGGACACCGGCGTACTTACAACGACTAGCCCATCTGCCAGATCAAAAGTTTTTTTACTGGTTCCAAACCGGTTCCGAACCGGTTCCCTGCGTCGCCCTGATCTGCCCTCGCCAAATGCAATTTTCCGTTGCCGTTTTTGAGCCGTTTTCGTTGCCGTTTTTTTCACGTTTCCGGTAGCATGTTTTTTACCGTTTCCATGTTCAAGAGACACATTTTCGAAAACGAACAAAAAAACAAACGGCCCTGCCGTTTCCATGGCCCACTAAGCTCGAACAGACAAGAACCCAACCAGTCAAAAGCGTAGATGAAGGACGGAAGACCTCGAGCGCCTCAGCCGTCAGCTCACTCGCTCCCCGCCCCTCCCACCCGAGCTCCGACAGCTTCGGGGAGACTGGCGACGAGTGAAGCGCGCAGGCCTGCCGAAAACGAAGCGCGCTCCGGGCGAGTAGCAAACCGAGGAGGAGGAGGAGGAGGAGGAGGAGGAGGAGCAGGAGGAGGAGGAGGAGGAGTGGAGGAGGAAGAGGAGGGAGGAGGAGGACGGAGGAGGAGGAGGAGAGGAAGGAGGAGAGGAGGAGGAGGAGGGAGGAGGAGGAGAGAGGGAGGAGGGAGGAGGGAAGAGAGGAGGGAGGAGGAGGAGGGAGGAGGAGAGGAGGAGGAGGAAGGAGGGAGGAGGAGGAGAGGAGGCGAGGAGGCGGAGGAGGAGGAGGAGGAGGAGGAGGAGGAGGAGGAGGAGGAGGAGGAGGAGGAGGAGGAGGGGGAGGATTTTTTTTTCGGGCACCATGCCATATCGCTGCTCGTTTCTGATGGCTCCTTCCTGACTGTCTGTCTTAGGTGTCATTCCTACGGCTCGCTGGGTTATATTCGGGGCTTAGCTCAGCGATGTCAGCCACCGACGCGTAAGAAGACCGAGACTTTCAATGCTATTTGTAAGGGTCGGCATCCGTCGAAATCCTAGCTTCGTGTGGAGCCCGCGCCGTGGCGTTAGTTTTTTTCCCGCTGTTTCCACGGCACTGCGGGACAGGCAGCCGTCTCGGCGTGAGTCCCCCCGCAGTTGCCGTGACGTCAGCGGTGGGGCAGGGCTGGTGGCGAAAGTGGCAGGAGGCGCCACCCAGCCCTGCCCCCTCCTCTGGGGGGAGGCGCCGTCCCCCCAGAGAGTGTGGCTTGGCAGTAGTGGATGTCAAAAAAAAAGGAGGGGGAGGAGGAGGAGGAGGAGGAGGAGGAGGAGGAGGAGGAGGAGGAGGAGACACGAGGGAGGAGGGAGGAGGGAGGAGGGAGAAGAGGAGGGAGGAGGGAGGTGGCCGCCTGCGCCCGCGCGCTGGCCCCCTTCCCCCCCCCTATCCTGCCCGAGCTCCGACAGCTTGGGGCAGCAGCGCTCCGAGGCCATGCACCTGCGCGCCGTCCGCCCCACCCCGTTGCGGAGGGGCGCAGGGGGAAGGCCGCCAGGCACGAGGGCCGCCCGACGGGGGGGGGAGGAGCGCCACGGACCGAAACGGAGGAAGAGAACAACACAAAAAACACAGCACAAGCACAAGCTGTTGGTGGTCCGCGCGGGTCTCTTGGATCTGTGCCAGAGCCCCCTCCCTGGCGCGCTCCGCGCACCAGGAGCGGCGCCAGGGGCGCCGCCAGGGGGCCCCAGCGCAGATCCGAGAAACCCGCGCGGAGCGCCAAACGCTTATGTTTGTGCAATTGTTTTCCTGCTCGATGAAGGAGGAGAGGGGGGAAGCAGGGGACGGGATCGGCCCCGCAGGCCGCAAGGAGGACGCCCAGGTGAGGTGGGTCGCCCAGGAGGCGGGTCCAATCTACAGGCGGAGCAGACGGAGGCGGGGGCCCGCCCTCGCAGTATGGAAGCGGCTCGCCGCGAGCGGCGGCCGCTGTGGTCCGCAGCCGCGCCGCCAGAAGACGCCGAGTGACGGCAGGGGAGGGGGGGGTGCAGGGGGGGAAGGGAGGAGGCGGAGGAGGAGGAGGAGGAGGAGGAGGAGGAGGAGGATGGGGAGGAGGAGGGAGAGGAGGGGGGGAGGGGGGGGGAGGAGGGGGAAGCGCGGAGGGGGGGAGGAGGAGGAGGAGGAGGAGGAGGAGGAGGAGGAGGAGGAGGAGGAGGAGGAGGAGGAGGAGAGGAGGAGGAGGAGCAGCAGCAGCAGGAGGACCAGTGTAAACCCAAGGGTCATCAACGATGTTGGAATCAACCCTCCCTCCAAGCTCCCTCTTCATGGGCCCCTACAACGGTCAGTTCCAATGAAGGAACCACCTCGTTGGAAGACAACCGTTTGAAGACCCTGAATCATGCCAAAACATTGTTCCCGGCTTTCCAACGCCACGGAACAACCTGACTGCTGTCTCTTAACGATCTTGAATCGCACTGGAACGCCAATCTTGGGATTTCAACACCGCGAGTCAACCGCGGATCCTGAATCCGTTCAGAACGCAGTGTCTGGTACGCTGGCGTGGGACTCCGTGGAAGTCTTGCGAATGTTTAAAGCAAATGTGCGCGGCGCTAAGGCGAGAGCCACATTTCGAGAACCATCCGCCCTCCATCCGTGAAACTCTTGCAAATGTTCAAAAGGAGTGTGCGCGGCGCTAAGGCGAGAGCTACATTTTGACAACCATCCGCCCTCCATCCGTGAAGCTCTTGCAAATGTTTAAAACTACTGCGCGCGGCGCTAAGGCGAGAACCACATTTTGAAAACCATCCGCCCTCCATCCGTGAAATCTTTGCAAATGTGTAGAACGAAGGTGCGCGGCGCTAAGGCGAGAGCCACATGTTTAAAACGGCCCGCCTTCCATCTGTGAAACTCTTGCCACCTTCTAAGCTTCAGGATCATAAACGGTGACGAAATTTCAGGCGAAACGCCCGGCCCGCCCTAAAAACTGGCCTCGGGGTTCGACAGGGGGAAGGAGGAGGAGGAGGAGGAGGAGGAGGAGGAGGAGGAGGAGGTAGAGGCAGAGGAGGAGGAGGAGGAG